CGCAGGATACCCTCTAGGTGATAGTTCTTGAGTACTTTTTGATAAATAATTCGTTCTTATTGCGAAATAGGAGCACTATTTATCAATCTGTAATAGAAGCGTGAGGAAATTCTGTCTTTTTTAAAGACAAAAATTTTTGAGGCGAAATACCCAACAAGAAGTTTGTAAAAAGTGAATCCGCTTCAACAATATAGAACTTATCTAGTAGATGAGTGCTAACTTAAAAATCTTCAGTTCAGAGACGTGAGCGGCAGCATTTTAACAATCCGGGCTGCCATTACGAGGGCTCTAGAAGACATGGAAGCGGACGGCGGAGTTACCTCGGCAGTCACCGGAATAGTAACATCGGATAATCTGGTGGACAATCTATGCATGCTGATCGACAACGAAAAGTGGACCTCAGTTATTCTGTTCTACAAGTGCAACAAGGAGGCGTTCCTGAGGGAGAATGAGGACATTTGCGATAAGGGCAACGATGTGCTTTCCGTCCTCAATATCTACTGCCGCAAACTGGTCGCTGATAAGCCAGGTGAGGCCAGGTTTCCTCACCTCATTTAAACCGATAAGAAGTGCACTGATGTGATGCTTTCAGAGTGTTATGTGATATCGAACCAGGATCTGGAGCTTCAAGGCGTGTATACGAGGGTTTATCAGGTGTCAGCGGCGGTTTCCGACTTGAACGAGAGCTTCGAAAAGGACTGCGGCCAGGGCAAAACTTTGGGCGAAAGTAGCAGCAGCAAGTGAATCTCATCAGTGTGTTCCAGGTAGGATTTTGGCTTAATTCCAAAAAAACACTTGTTTGTTATAAAATTTAAATAATTACACGGACATTTTTACAGTTTTAACAAAAATAATTCATTTATATAAAATCACACGGCTTCTAAGTACATATTTGAAACTCTCGTTGTATTTGCCTCAGACTTTTTTGCAAAATATGTACACATCGGCAGTAACCAAAGCGGTTCTGAGCGATTATCCGAAGTTCTCAAAGTGGTGGATGAAATAGGGCAGTTTTCTGCCCATGTTCACTTCGTCGCAGGCCGACATAACGCTTTTCGTCAACGGCCTGGGCCCGCAGCTAAACACCCCGATTTTGCTCACCTAATTTAGAGAGAACAGCACAATTTAGCCACTGATTGCCTATGGAAGTCGGTTACTTACATAGCTGTGCCTTTTTTGAACGAATTTCAAGAACGACGTCATATCGGGTCGGCCGAAGTGATTGACCGCCTTCAGCCCCGTGAAAATCGACGTCTTCGAAAGCCTTTGGAAGTGGTTTTCGCAAATATACTGCAAAATGGTAAATGTGAATGTCTGCAAGGGTTTTTAACCGCGGATTTGAACAGTGTGCTTACCAACATCGTGGTCCTCAAGTCGAACTTGTGGAAGAATTGGGTGATGAATATGTGAATCTCCAGCACATTGGTAACGTCCTTTTTTTCCACGTCGCGAAGCACGTCGATGAACCACTCGAAGTGCTTGTGTGAGGGGCAGATCCACAGGAAGTAGACCTGGATTGGGAGGATGAGCAGTTGCAATCAGATGGTTTCTGTAGGCGTGAACGTGAACTTGCCTTTTTACAGGCAACGCCCGAATATCGATTCGTAGAAGTGCCGAACACCAGATCATTGAGAATTGAGGCATAGGGCGTCACTCCAATGCCCCCGCCCACCATTACAGCCACCTCAAACTTGTACCAATCCTGGTTGCCACCTCCGAACGGGCCCTCCAGTAGGATCTTCGGCTGGTCCTCCAAGTTGTAGTTGCACGGGTCGAAGTAGTTGCGCAACTTCCACGTCCATGGGCCTAAAATTCCCCTAAAATGACCGTCGTCCCTCAACTACAATAGTCACAGTCGCCTACCTTGAGCCTTGATGTGGCAGGACAGGAAGTTCTCATGAGGCGCAGATGTTAAGGTGAAGGAGTGGAACTCGCGGTCTTTGAAGGCTGTGCATGCCAAACGCACCCATTGGCCGGAGAGATACTTCAAGTTGGGCGGTCGGTAGAACTTGATCTTGATCACGTCCGAGGGCAGAAGTTCGGTTTCGAGAACATCAAGGGGAATGTATCTGGTGCGCATACTGACTACCTGTTAAAAAACCATGTTTTTTTGAATTTTGCGTTTGTTTGGAAGTCATCGTCATCGAAAGGAATTTTGTGTAATCGCGGTAGCACAAAAAAAAATACGTTGCCTAAAAGTCAGAACATCGATGGTGGTTGACTGTTCATCACCTGCTGGGGTGGGTTGCTTATGAACGACTACATAGTCGTTCCTTTTCCTCCTGCAGGAAAGTCGATCCTTCCTTGTCTAATGGCGGTGTTTTATGAGCGCCCTGACAGACGTCTGAAGATCATCGACGTTCTGATCTTTAGATGTAGATGATTTTCAGGCGTCTCAAAGTGCAAGTACTTTTCGAAATTTTTCAGCAACTGGAGAGAGAATCAGAGGAAACATAGTCCCGCATTTTTTTTACAACTGTAGCAATTTTCAGCTTGAATCATGGCAAAAAACTGTGTGTTTTAAACAAAAAAATGTATTTCAGACACATGGGCTCGAAGCTACCGGGACTCTTCTGTTTCCTTCTCCAAGTCTAACAGCACTGGGACGTCCGACATCAAACTCCCTAGTATTGTATACATTTTTTATATTGTTTTATAGCGCATCGTATGTTATAGGCGAAGCTGCATGTTCTCATGTTCATAAAGTTAATGCTTCCTATGTGGTGTTATGCATTATTTAACCATCTAGGAAACCTACGGGACGGTTTATTGCGCGGGTTTAGTGATCGAGTTCGCGTCTTTTGCAACCAAGACGGCGCAAAAGTTTACAGGGAACAAAAATCGATGGAAAACACGAGCCTGATTTGAAATTGCCGACGTTTCGTTATATTTAGTGCAGGTCCGGCGGACGCCCAAATAAAAACAGACACTTTAACGTATTAAGTTAAAGGTATTTTAAAGAAGAAAATGAAAAATAACTGCTTACTTTGTCCAGAGTGAAAACAATCCCTGGGCCAAGGAAGAACATCCAAAATCTAGGCGCTCCTGTTAGACGGGCCAGGCCATGGACCAAGCACAAGGCATAGAGTAGCACGTAGAGACTATGTGTGAACCAGAAGAACTTGTAGGCTTTCTTCCTGATGGTGGGATGAGCGAACACGATGATCACGCACATTATTACAAAGAGCAGCACCCCAGATAGGCCTGAAAGTGCATTGATTCACCCACTGAAGCCAATTGAATAAATCGAAAGTGAACTGACCAGTGAGAGTTTGAAACAACCAGAAGCTGATGCCCGGCTTGTAGTCGGAAGGGAATCGGATTTCGCTGGTTAAGCATTTGAGGTTCTCCACCGGCTGGGTGGAGACGTGGTAGAAGTTCACTATGTGGCCCACAGTGTGCAGTACCGAGAAGAAGAGCGCAGTGCAAGCCGCTATTTTGTGGAACTGGATGTTGGCGTCCAAAGGTATGTACTGCTGGATGGAGAACTCTTTCAGCTTCGTGATGAGGTTCCTGGACATGGTGAGCAGGAGAATGGAGTAGCAGAAGGAGAGTGAAGCAGCCGAGCCTCGGGTGATGGCAATTCCCACCCCCATTATGTGC